CTGCCCTGTCTTGTTCCTGCGGAGGAGGAGCCAGCTAAGCCCAAACTGCTGATGCTCAAGCTGAGGCTGGCTGCTGGTACCTGCCTTTTGCATGGGAGCTGGTCCCAGGTGGCTGAGAGGTCGAGCTGGACGGGCTGTGCCTGCCTGCAGAGGAGCAGAGACGTCTGTCCTCCTTGCTGCCATGCAGCTCTGCTCCCTACCTAGAGAGCAGACATGAGGATCTCACAAAATCCCCCTCTTGCAGAAGGGCTCCCAGCATGGGGAAAACCCCCGTCACATGGGCTGAGGGCAGCTGGTGAGCCAGGGAGGGCTTTTGTCTGAGAAAAGGCAGATGTCATGCATGCAGAAGAGTTAGTCATGTGGGAAAAAGGCAGCTTGAGGGATTAAAAGGACTATTTGCCCAACCCCCAGTTTGAAGGATGAGAGAGAGGATCTGTGTTTGCCCCCCAGTTAAGCCCAGTTGCGGCTGCAGCAGCACAGCCCCTCTCCAAGCACGTCTGCTGTACCAGGGTGATGTGTGGAGAGTCTGAAGACACCCCCGGGCCATCCACTGCCTGCACAAAGTCACTTTATGGGGAGTCCTCAGAGCAAGAATTTGCAGGTATTTAACTGATGTGAGCCGCTTTTTGGCAAATGGCAGAGGAATGGCAGAGAGTGGGACAGCCGCAGCTCTGTGCAGGCAGTGGGGCAGCTGTCCCCTGGCAGCTTGTCCTTCCTGGGGATGCTCCAGGGGAGGCAGCCCCGGCGTTGTGCAGCCACAGCCCTTCAGAGCCCCCTTCTGCACATCGGTCTCCGAGTAATGCATATGTCTGTCTTTTATACTCTAGGCAGAATGACAAGGTGTAGCAAAGAGCTTAAGCAGTGCTCATGCCTGGAAAAATGGCCCGATAATGGTCTTTTAAGCGATTTTAAGCATGTGGTGCCCAGTATGCAACACAGTGGTTTCTTATTGAGGCATGCCCTAAATGCAATTCTCTGTTATTACAGTCCTAGTTTCATAGCACAGCTCAGCCAAAAACACGAGTGATGATGCAGAAAACTGCTCTAACAGAGCCAGAGTACAGCTGAACATTGGTGGGCAGCTATTTAAGCAGATGTCAGATGACCTGGACGCTGGGGACTACCAGACTGGGAGTATCAGGTAGGAGCTGGGAGCCACAGCTCTTGCTGCAGACCCGAGGGGTGGAGGGGAGGACTGGCACACTGGAGGAGAATGAGCCTGTGTGCCCATCACGTCTCTCCTGGGCCTTGCTGTATCCCATATGGTCTGAATGTGGGAAGAAAAAACAGCTTTGTGGGCACTGCCAAGCTGGGACTCCTTTGAAAGATTATAATTCCAAATGACTGTAAAAAATTGGAAAAAAATGGTTTTAAATCAGTCTGATGGACTTCAGCTCAGAGAAATTCAAAATGCACTAGTTAGTGCCATCCTAGAACCAGATGTGCAGAGACAAAAAGGGGAATGGCTGAGCAGGTAGCACTGCTGCCAGAGAGGACTGAAATGGGTCAACACTGGAATATGAGTCAATGTTGACTAATGTTGCCAGAAAGAAGCTGTGTATCAGCAAGGTACAGCATGTAAGATGCAGATGGTAACTGTACTACTGATCACTGACGAGGTTTTGGTTGTGATCAGATATGCACACCATCACTGAGGAAGCACAAATTGTGGAGAGTCTGGATGGCACCAAGAAAAGTAACATGTGATTTAGGGAGTGTGACCTCTGGGGAAGGGTTGAGTGAATGTGATTGGCTTTCCCCTGAAAAAAAAAAGATTGTTAGAAGGCTGCACATGGATGACAGAGATAATTTCTCCCTGGTCCACAGGACATGGGTATCTGAAGATTTTGAAGCAAGGTGCTTCCTCAGGGTCCCTGGTTTCTTGCTCTGCTTGCTGGGGACTCCTGTTGCTGGTGACCCTCCTGAGGCCGTGCTGTGTTCAGCTCATTGCAGATGGGAGGGCTGGAGCTCCTTTCTTGGGGTTTGGCAATGAAGGGGCTGATTGATGCTGCTCCCATGCAGACAGACTCATGGTGGTTTTGGAGAAGCTCTGCTGGGAACTGGAAACCAACCTCATGGATGTGGCTGCAGAGTTGCATCTCAGAAACCATCACACCCTTCCCCCCCCCCCCCCAAGAAAGAAACACAAACTCAAAATAAAACCAACCAAGTGATCCTGAGCAGAAATAGGCTAATTTACAAAGGACTAAGGTATTGTGTGATCAATAACACTCAACCCAAGCTGCATTTCCAGAACTAATTCATGCATTGATTTTCCCATTGATTTGCAGTAAGTGCTGGGTTCCTACCTAGATTAGCAAAGGTATTTAGATATTAAACTGAAGTCATGTTAGTAGTCTTAGTCATCTTAGTACTTAAATACAGTTGATTTATAGTTAAGATTATGTCCCTATGCAAGATGCTGTGATCCCACAAAATCTCTTGCTACATCTTGATAGTTCAGTGAGCACCTTTGAAAATCTGGTTTTATATACTCCCAGTTGCTTTGAAAATTAGGTATATTCTCCAAATCACAAGGGCTTGGCAAAGCCTTTTAAAGCATGGGCCGAAACACCCAACCCGGTGCCCTATGTCAGGCTAGATGGGGTTTCTTCCTGCCTGGGAGTTAAGGTTCATGGCTTGGTGTTTCAGTGAAGTTTCTGAATATTTTTACAGCTGATCACCAACCTGTTAAAGGATTCACAGATTCTGAGCTACCAAAGACATGGGCAGGCCATAGATAAAGTGACCAGCTGTATCATTGACAGCACATTTGGGAAACATTAACCAAAAGTAAAAGCCTTTTATAAGAAGGCCATAAAATGGCAGGAGTAATTATATATTTCCAAAGTTAATAATTGACTTTTGTTTATTTGGCTTTTTGTAAAAAACTTTTTCCTTTCTCTCCTACAATGGATAAAACCTACAAAAAGCCTGGCAAATTGGATTCAGACTTTTTTCTTCATGCCAGCCCTGCTTGAAGGCTGATGAGACAGAGCCTGACAGAGAAGCTCACCTGAGGAAACCTAGTTTGTTGGGAGGTTCTCAGCCTGGACATGAATATGTTGGTCCACCTCTGGCTTCTCTGTGGTCTGAGTGCTGTTGTGACCCCTCAGGATGTCACACAACAAGCCCAAATGTTTCTGGAAGACTTCAACAGGAGGGCAGAAGATATCAGCTATGAGAGCTCCCTTGCGTCATGGAACTACAACACCAACATCACCGAGGAGACTGCCAGCAAAATGGTAAGTGGTCTGTCCTGCGGGTTGTACTGTTGTTTTAGGAATCTGACAGCTACTTTCTAGATTATTTTGGTTCCACTGAGGTTGGCTGGAATTTGGGTGCTACTTCTTTGGTAGCTATGATTTAGTTTCAGGAGGGTAGAGGGGCTTGCTTTAACATAGCAATGAATCACTGGAAGTGCCTGGGCCACTACCAGCCCCTACAGTCTAGGGCTGGTGCCTGGGATGCCCTTGCACTGCATGGGGACAGCAGGAGGCTGGACTTGTCTCTAGCTGTCACCTCCAAGTCACCCCGGTGAGTGGAAGGAAAAGGCGAGGGAGCTCTGCATGTTCAGCCCCAAAATCTGAGCTGGATGGAGAGAGACACCTCCCTCCACCAGTGCCTCCCAGAGCGGTGTTTCTGTGTGGGACCCTTTTCCTCCTGGAGAAGGCACAGCCCAGAGGGGAAGGTCTTCTTGCAGGGCCCGGGCTAGGTGCTGCCCTGCAGCATGAGGGAACGGGATTTGAATCTCGTGCCCACATGAGTTCAGGTCTCCCATTTTTTAGACTGAACTAACACTGGGCTTTTTACTGACATGAACAACGCTCTCTCTTCTATGTTGCTGAAATTGTTTTACTTCTCACAGAATATTCAAACATTTTCTGAATGTAGGCATTCTATTAAATGTTTGCTGATGGTTTTATAAAGTGGTCCACACCCTTTACCCAGTGGGGCACCTTCCTCCCTGCTCCCTATCACTCTTCTCATAGTCAGGGCTGTTGGTATGCTTACTGCCTGTAGGTATTAAAGTGGGAAAGATGAAGTGAGATCATGGATTTCCAAATGCCAGCGGTGGAGTTTGTAGTACAGTGATCTAGTACATTGGTTTGAAAGTCAGTTTCTCTCTGCTGGAAAGACCACATGCTATCCTGCAAGACAGTTCTCCCTGCTTCTCAACACCAACCTCTAGCTGTCCCAGCCAATGAGGTCTCTAGGCAAGGACTGTGTACATCAAGAGCAGTCAGCCCTGATCTGTCTGCTTACCAATACTGCCATGCCTCAGCCTAGCATCTCATAACCTTGGAGCCTTTCAAAATGAACAAAAACACCTTGAATTTTGTAGTTGTGTATATTTTAAAGTTAACTCAAGTTCTAGAGAAAAACAATTCTGAACGTAAAATGAAGATGAACATCCTACAGCTGCTTCTGCATAATGGTTTAAGTCTTCCACTTTGCAGTCTTACAGCTTAATTAAAACATGGTTAGTTGTCATATTTCTTAATTAAAGCAAGGAGACTAGTTGCTGGAAGAAATCCTAGTGACTAATCATTGTCAATCTGGAATGTTTTCAGAGACACCAGGTACTTAAACTGTAACATTTCCAAACACGTAAAATTAAAGCCCCATATAGTACTTTCAGCATTAATGAGGTGATAATAAAGTACCTGAGGAGGTACCAGCAATAAGAACCAATTAGTCCAGTGCTCAGATAGGTTGTTTTCTCTCACTTGATTTCTTCAGTAGCACTGGTAATTAACCTACTACTTCCCCTCCTCTCTTTCTTCTGGAGGAGCAGAATTAATGAATACTGTCCCTTCTGGCTCCTTCCCATCCATTTTCCTTGTAAATTGGGCCACAAACCCTGCAACTCTTCCTCTGACTTATCAACAAGTTGCTCTAATCGGGGAAAAATCAGACAGCAAGCTAACTTCTTTCCCCTGGCTTTTGTAGCCAAAGAGCCCCCTCTTCTGCCCCAACGCTCCTAAGGCACCTCTCTGTCCCTGCTCAGGACAAGGAGTTCAGAAACAGGTCACACAGTGGTGCTCTTCCTCTGGGTGATTATCAAGCTCTTGCCCACTATGCTTTGCAAGCCCCTGAGCAGCGGCAGGGCTGTTTGCTCTGCTCCCATCAAGGGTGAGAGTTTGGAAAGCCTCCTGGGGATGGCTGCCCTCTCTCATGGGCAGGGGGAGACATGGGGCTAGGACAGCCGAGGGTTTATGTCTGCCACCACCTAAAGCAGGTACGGGGTGTCCATTGCGCACAGAGCTGGACAGCCTGGGCACAGCCCTGGTGAAAGCGTTAGCCTTGCCTTGTGTTTGCACAGGGGTGAAGTGTGCCTGAAAGAGCTCTTCAGGCACAATGTGACTTTTGTCTTTCCTGATGCCTCAGCAGAGAGGGATGGGTGTTACAAGTACCTTCTCCACAACCTGGGAAGCTCTGGCATGAACCCAATTAATTAAGCTATCCCAAGGAGTCAGGTTAATTAGTACTGGTTTTGTTGACATTTTGGGCAGGTGCTGAGGTGCTAAACTATGTACAAACACATTAAAGATGGTGAATAAGACAGTCCCAAATCCAAATAATGTTCTTATGGTGCCACTTTGTGCACTGAAATTTGGGAGTTTCACCTGTCATGGGATGTAATTGCAGCAGTGGTAAAAGCAATCGCATGCAAAACATTCAGATTTCACATGCCAAAATTAGGCACCTGTTTAGAGCCTCCTATGCCCCAGTATAATCTTTTATTTACCAAAACTCCAGGAGAAAGTGATGTTTGCATAATGAAAAGACTCAATATCAATATCTTGACTGCTGCCTGTCACTGTCACTGAAGCAGAAATGGGGAATGACATCTGGGTCACAGACTTCTTGTGCTCTGGCTTGTATCTGGTTTCTGTTAGGCACGCGTGGGGGAAGGAAAGAACTAAGGGAAGAACACATGGCAATTTAGAGTAGTGGGGAACACAGCTAGGTGATGCTGGATCAATTATAACTAGCACAGTGTGAGGAGACAGTCCTGCTTTTTGCTGTTTGCAAAGAAAAATGGTTATCTGGATGTGTGAGTAAAACAAAGCCAAAAAGTTCTCCAGCTGTTTCACTGTGCAGTGCAAGTGCTCGACCTGCAACCCACAGGTGGTCTCCACAGATGAAGTTCCCCACAGAAGTAATATTTTTGCCGACTGAGTAGATCAGGCTGCTGCACTCTTGGAGGAGTAATTCAGGGTTTGTGTGAACCCCTTGCAGAACGAGGCGGGTGCCAGGTGGTCCGCATTTTAGGTGGTCCGCATTTTATGATGAGGCCTCCAGAAATGCCAGCAGATTCCCGTTAGCCAGCATCCAGGATGTTCTCACCAGGCTCCAGATCCAGACTCTCCAGGACAGAGGATCATCTGTGCTGTCACCGGAAAAATATAGCAGAGTAAGTTGCTGAAGGTAGCTTGTTTTTTGCTGGATGAGTTGAGCTGCCTCCCACAACACCCGTGAGGGATGGCACGGTGCTTGTCTGGGGATGATGCTGTATCCCAGCATTGGTATGGAGAGCATACCTGTACGAGGTGACCACAGCATTTTGGGACTGGAGGGGGTGTCTGGCTTAGGAAGCTGGTTTCTACTCAAGTCAGCAGTTTTGCCGTGTAATCTATGGAATGAATTGCAAATGCACACACGCCTCAGAGCTGTCCTTGCACAAATGGCCAGATTAGTCATAAGAGGAAAAGAGGACCCATGGTAAGTGCTTGGCAAAGTCCAGACCTAGGGCAATGAGCAGAAAGGGATGAGTGAAAGGACATTCAATGAGTCAAAAAGGTGGAGGTGGAGAAAGTCTTTCTCTGCACATATTGCATTATCAGACTGTGAAAAATAAGGGAAGTTTCTACGCAGTGGGTGCCCTGGGATGCCTGAAATCAGGGAGGGTTGGCCATCTCCTTCCACAGAAAGCTGCTGAAGGAGCAGCTAGAGTTTAGCAAGATTCATAAAGAGCTTTGGCATTTCCTCTGGCAACTTCATGTAAAATGCATATATATGGATAACGAGTATATGTAGAATTGGAGTGAGCAGTTATGCAGATTCAAAAGGGACTTAGAACCAAATGTTTGAGGGTTAAATTAGCTTCCTGTTGCCAGAGATCAAACTAAAACATAGTGTTTAGTTAGGCAATCCTACAGTCCTGATTACAAAAGGATTCTGAGATTTTTCTGCTAGGATCAGCAGTGTTAACCACCGTGCAAGAAAAGCAGCAGACTGGCCGGACCTCCTCTCTTGTCTACATGACATGTGTTTCCGGAAAGACAGATTACCTTGGTGGGAATGCTGACAGTTCATACAAATACAAATATGTATTCATTTCGGAGCACAGCAGTGCACTGATGCAATGCTGTTGAGGAAGCATTTTGTTAAGTATCCTCACTGTTTAGACACTTGCAGTTTCCTAGATCAATGGCCTTTGGGGATTAAATTGTTTATTCTTGCTTGAAAAGTGGCTTTTTGTACAGTCTGAAGGGATCCCATAGGAATTTAAATATTTAAATACTCTTCACTGATACAAAAAATTTCCCTAGGTGCCCACTTATTTTAAGATAGAGACAAAGTTAAAGCTAGTCATTAACTACCCCTCTCACTGACAGCTCTACGTAGTTCTGATTCAAAGCTTTAAATGAGAAATCATGTAGTCCTAAAGGAAAAGCTAAAAGTGGTGGATGTTTTTCTTGAGGTATGAAAACCTGAAAACATTAAAAAAAACCCCAAACAAACCAGAGCTAGGTAGCATAGCTTCTGAGACAGAATGATTTCAGAGGAATATGGCCTTCAGCTTACCCAAGACAAGAGCTGTAACTTCTCTGTAATGGAATATAAGCAGATCTATGGAATCAGTGTGATGTGATGTTAAAAACCACAAGCAACAGTCTTTTTACTGCCATTCAAAATCATGACCTACCTGGAAAGTTTATGTGGGTCCATGCTTATTATTGCTAAACTTTATTGTTTATTCCTGCTGTATATTGACAGCTCTCTTGTGATAACCTGTGCTCATTAAATCCAGAGCTTTGTCTGACTGGATATTAAGGACCTGGAGATTATGTCATGTATTTGGGAGATTATCTGTCTTTTCCAGCTAGGTCCTGCGTTGGTGATGCATCTAGGCAAATTCTTTCATTAATCTCTACTGAACTTAAACATATGCTTAAATGTTAAGCTGGTGGGTGAAATGTTGAATTGAGCTCTTAAGGAATTAGCATAATTGGCTATTATTTTTCACAGGCTGGGTTTCTAACGCGCTATCTCCCATCTAACTTGCAGCTGAGCACTGTGCTAAATACAATGAGTACCATCTACAGCACCGGGACTGTCTGTAAAATCACTGAACCATCTGAGTGTTTGGTGCTGGAGCCAGGTATGGTATTAACCACTGCCCCTACTGTCTCCTTTGCACTGAGGGTTCAAAAGAAAAAGCCCAAGGGTAGCTCCTGACTGCAACAGAACAGGCTGCAGTTTCAATAGATATATCCTGCTATCTAAAGCTTAGTCATCATTTTATTGCACTTTGCATTCAAGGACCTCCAGCGGGCCTGCTGCTCACAAGACATGCTGTCTCCTACTTGTAGTAGACAATATTTGGAGAGGACTGCTCAGCTTGTGTGACAGCCTGCCAGTCTCCTGGGGTTTGCCTATGTCACAGAAAGTCTATTTTTTCCCCTGTCATGAAAGTCTTGTTGGTCTCATTGTTGCATTGAGGCCAGTCCCAAGAACACTACCGACTTAAGGGAACCTAATGCAGAGAAAGCATTTAAGGGACTCATTATCTGCTCCATGTCTCTTAAAGAGAAGAAGGGGAAAACCTTCAATCAGAAAATAATGCAATAAAATAATGGGATATTTTAGTATATCAAACACAAAATGTTTTCTTCTTAGTTCTTTCTTTCGCTTTGGCTCATTTGCCTTCTGTGAAAGAAAAATAAGGAGATTCTGCTTTTTTCAAGGCCTAGTACTTATTTTTTTGTTCTGACAGGTCTGGACACTATTATGGCTAACAGCACTGATTATCATGAGAGACTGTGGGCCTGGGAAGGCTGGAGAGCTGGTGTTGGCAGGATGATGAGACCATTATACGAAGAGTATGTTGAACTTAAAAATGAGGTTGCAAAGCTTAATAGTAAGTCCCAAAAATTTTTTTCATTTTTACTGGCTTCCAGAAATGAAGTCTTGCACAATTTGCACAGAAACTCAAAACCCATACCTTTTTGCACACTGATGACCAGTGCTTTGCACATAATTTTCTTTTGTTTTGCGCATCATGGTGAGAAGCAATGTAGACAGTTGCCATTGACCAGATCAGAGGTCTGTCACCTGCCTGGAGCAAAAAGGGGATGTCTTTGTTGGCACCTTTTCCAAATGCCATAGTGTATCAGTGCTCTTCATTGCATACTCCCTTACCCAGAACTGCACCGCTTGTGACTTAGGGTCAAGCACGCTCAATTTAAACAAGTTCTGAGTGCTGCTGAGTCTTGGCGACATCTCCTCTTTTCTGTTGGCCTTGACCTTCTTGCACCAGCCACCAGCAGCGGTACATTTATAAGCATTATGTCCTAACCAGAATGATCTGATTCGGTAGGCCTGGGCCAGCAGATACAGCCAAGTGCTTAAAAAGGATTTTGCTCTAAGGGAACTGTGCTTCCACTCAGAGACCTCCACACAAATCACAGGGAGCTGTCTTTTCAAGAAACAATGGCAGGTGGTTGCTATTTTTCTTTGGGGGTCTTCTAAAATAGCTTCTGAAATAGCTACATCATCTGTCTCCTGGACAGACTGAAGCTGTATCACTTACTTTCCTATACTCCTTGTTTTGTGAAAATTGTCAAGTTGGAGCTAGACACCAGGAATAAGAAATTATAGTCCAAATGGTTAGACAGAAAAAAACCCGAGACCTTAAGAAATGGTCATTATAATCTTCCTTCATACAACTAAGGAAGAGACCTCAGCTATGAGCCATTTCTACTCCAGGCTTGATGGAGCTCAGTGGACTAGAAGACTTAGTGGAAGTGGGAGCTGAATTTCTGTCCTGGTGTCTACAACTCCCCTGGTGGTTTTGTTGCTGGAGAAGGAGGCCCATATTCATTGTCCACCAGCCTATACCTTCTGTGATAATCCCTTAGTATCCAGCCTGAGCAGAGGCTGCCCTCCCTAATAGCCACAGGAGCTCCAGTTAGGAGTGGCGATTTTGTTTGACCTCTGTCTCCATCTGGAATGACCGTAACTAGCAGATACCCATGACTGCAATTTCTGCATTCCTTGGAAATCTCCTGTACCTGCATGTTCATGGGACAGAGCCTCAGGGGAGCCCTCTCCTCCCCTCTAGACCCAGAGCACCTGGCACTTTGCCGTTTTGCTTTGGGTCTGCATGGGATCAGCAGGGAGCTGCGCTGCTCCTGCAGACCTGAGCGATGCCATCTGCGGTATCCTGATGTGACACATCCATGCTTTACAGATTATTCTGACTACGGAGATTACTGGAGAGCAAATTATGAAGCAGACTATCCAGAAGAATACAAATACAGCCGTGACCAGCTGATTGTAGATGTGGAAAAGACATTTGAGCAGGTAGAGGAAGGAAAAATCTCTCACCTGGGCCACAGGGTTGTGTTTTGTGATGGTGGGCTCACGTCGATGTTTTGGAGGAAGATGAGACCTGCTCTAAACTGGCTAATTTCAGTCTATATGGGGTTAACAGATGTTGGGAGACATACATGACATTTCTACCTCTGCAGCCATTCTAGGACCAACTTGGTCCCCTCAGGCCGCACTGTGCCAAAGGCTGGGAAAGAGGGAGCTCTGCAGATCCGTGTCTCTGCTCCTGGTAGGGCCCATGGGGGGGAGGGGAGGTAAGTTTCCCATGGGACAGATGGCATCTTTGATATTCTGCATCTAAAGTTAGCAATGCTCCCTCCCTCGTACCTGAGCAGGGCTTCTGGGGCCAGGATCTGAACTCAGAGCTTGAGCCTCGAGGCAGGGAGCAAAGCTCAGCTGCAGGTTTGTGGTGCACTTACCTGCTGGGAGAGTTTTGTCAGAGACACCTTCGAGGCTTTCTGTTTGCGAGGGATGAGTGGCTTAGAGCAAAAAGAAAATAATTTGTTTCCCTTTCTTCCTCTACCTCCAGATAAAACCTCTGTACCAGCAGCTGCATGCCTACGTGAGGCACCGTCTGGAGCAGGTCTATGGCCCCGAGCTCATCAGCTCCACGGGATGCCTCCCTGCTCACTTGCTGGGTAGGTCAACGAGGCCATGTCGTGCAAGCCTGACTTTGTACACAGGACAGTCACCTTCAAGGCACGTGGGAATAGAGTAATCTGCCTGTTTAATCAGCATATTAACGAACAGATTACAAATAAGAGAAAGGGAGAGGAGAAATGGAGAAGTCCCTGGCAGAGATGCCACAGGTGTTTAGCAGCAGAAGCAGGTAGGAAGGGCAGGTGTCTTCATACTCGCTGGAGCTGGCAGCATCCAGCTCAAAACTCCAGCACTGGGCTGGGACATTTCCTGCCCCTCTGCAGCACTTGTCTTCCTTAGAAATGAGAATTTTAGAGTTGTGGGAGCTTAGGATAAGATCTAAAAGGAAAAACATTTCATGACTCTGCTTTCAAAGCATGCAACATCAAGCTGCCATAACTGTAACGTACATGAACACAGCAGTGGCAATCATATGGATTAATGGCATGGATGGTCAGTTGTGAATAGACCTTTAGGAAGGTGATCAGTCCTGAAACTGTATTGTACAAGAATAGCTGATTTTGGGGAATAAAAGGATGTTTGATCTGAGTTTGATCTATGCATGACTTCCCAGAACTGCTCCCCTCCACATCTGGATCAGGAATGTTTAGATGTATAGGAGTCCCTATTTATGACACAGCACAATTTATAGAACTGCCTCGCACTTTTGAACAGTATGTAATCAATCATTTGAAGTATTTCTACGTTCCTCTCTTTTTTGAAGGTGATATGTGGGGTAGATTTTGGACAAATCTATATTCTTTGACTGTTCCCTATCCAGAGAAACCAAACATTGATGTAACTTCTGCAATGGTTCAAAAGGTAAGACATGCCTTTATGCAATATTCATTATGTAACAAATCTAGATGATATAAAAATTCTACACTACATGTCAGCTGCTCTCTAGAAAACCATAGCTGCACTATGGCAGACACATCCAGCAAAGCATTGCTTTCCGCATCCTTTGTTGCTTTTCGCCTTAATGTGTTTGTGCATTTTCCACTGTACCTGTTCCCTTAGCTGTTCTCCTCTTTTTTTTTCCTCCACCCTCTTTGACTGGCTTAATCTTAGCTCCAAATCTATTTTCCTCAGAGACACTTATCCATTAAGAGATACCATTAAGAGATATATTTTGTACATATAAATATTTCAGGACTCATGGAGTTGGCTGATATCAAATATGACCTTTGCTAGCCATTACCATAATCAAATAGTTTGTATATTGGGGGGTGGGGGTGTGGGTGGTGCCAGTCATGTTTATTTGGATACAGCTGGGAAACTGCAATGCTGCCTGTTATCTTTTGATAACTGCATAGCACCATAAGGTCTGTGAGATTTGTAGTGCTAACAGCTGTGACAGCACCTTTACCAGACTGAGAACATGGGTGAAGATAACTCTCTGTAGTCTTGTCTAAGCTTCACTCCTTCTATAAAGTAAAAATGATCAGTGGAATTTGATTTCTGAAATATGATTGTTCACTTGAAATCTCCCCTCTTCTCAAAGGGAGCATTCCATGCAAATGTTATGGTGGCAAGAGAAGTAATAGCTAAATTTGATTCATAAGCAGTTTTCACAAGTCTGCATTAATCTCACCTCTGTTTTACAGTATTGACCCTCTTGTAGTCATAAATTTGTGTGTATTCAAGTACCACCATGAGGACAGAAGCGTTACAGAGCCTTGGAGCAAAAGCCGGACTCATCTCTGTTGGTGGATGTGCCCAATTTAGGATTCTCATCCAACTGAGCTGTCAGCCACCCAGATCTCTGTGAAAACTCAGTCCAGTAAATGCAGAGCTCCTGCTTTGTAGAATAATAAGACCACTGAATGACAAAAATATTCTGGATATTAACATACAATCTGAAAAGCAACTCCTGTAAATACATTTTCTGGGTCTTAGGGTTCTGGCTGAGATCTCCTCTCATGCATATCTACTGGGAATGCAGCTCCACGCCCCTCAAATGAGTTATCCCTGACTAAAGGGGCTGAAGGGTTAGATCCCTGATCTGACATGCTACTGACAGGAATGCATTTTTTA